TACTTATTCAATCTCCAAGTATAATTTTTGCATTTATATTTTCAATCTTTTCAATTATTTTAACAACTTTAACATTTAATATTGGTTATAATCATCCAAAACATCATATACAATTTCTCATTATTTTACCTCCATTAAATAGTGTATTTTTATTTTTATTATCATTAACATGGATTGAACGTCGTTTTCGTTTATCATATATTCCATTTATATGTTTAGTTATATTATTAATTGCATCAATAACATTAACAATAGTATCATATTTATTTTTATCATTATCAATTATAATTTATTTTAATTTGATTTTCTATTCTATTCTAACTAGTATAGTATTATTAATAATTCTAATTGTTATTATATCTTATTTATATAGTTCAATAAATAATTATCAATGTCGTACTAAAACGACAATAGATCAACAAAATAATGAATTATTAAAAAATAATAATACATTTCAAGTTGATAAACTTGTATTAAATATCAATGAAAATGAATTAATTTTATTTATGTCGTATTTTCCTGGTAGATATACATATCATGATAGGGGCCATTCAAGTATTACGTTATCCAGTTTTTGGCCGTTTTGACCCTCTCCCCTCCCTTGATAACGTAATCTTTACAATATTTTTTCTTATTACATAATTATTTTGTAAAGTTAAAAGCTAAATTAATGATTTCGTACATACATCTATTTTCACGTCCTAGTTCACAATTAATTATTCCAAACAAAAACAATAAATAAATATAGATTACAAAAACAAGTAACGCTCATCCATAACTGTCATTAATAGTTTCGTACACAAACTTGCAGAAAAAACGACAGGTTGTCATAATTTTCACCACCTCATAATTAATATTCTTCCGGAACATTATTAATTCACCATCAAAACTACCAACGCTCGAAATTTTCCTTAATCCTATATTAAATATATCATAAATCAGAAGCCGAAATACATACTTTCTCGATCAATTTTCAAAAGAAACTTTAAACAAGTTATTTAGTTTTTGAACAGCTTTCTGATTTTCTCAAAAATACTATGCCATTCAAAATCAGGTAAATCAGCATTAACTTAGCAATTAACATGACAACATAAACTAAATAGCTTTTTTCTTTTCATCCTATTCTACATGACATCTACAAATCATCTTTTATGTTAGCTCATTTCGTACCATTAACACACAATAGCTGGTAACTATGTTCTATTGATGTCAGATCAATCCATGAGAAAAAAATACATGACAAAATCACGAATAACACTTTGAAATTGTACTACCGCATCTCCTTCAGTTCAGACTACAGTTTAAATAAGAATCAATATATTACGATCATTTTATAGTAAAAGACGTAGAACAAGATCTACATTTTAGTAAACATAGTTTCATCACAATCGAACAATTTTATTATCATTTTTAAGTTACCCATATAATAAAATCCTAATGAGATGATGAACATATTCTTTTAGTTTAACATCACAGTATCTTCATAACTAACATTTATGATTCTGCCAATCGTCGATTCTTCTGAATAAGTTCATGCACACGATTTAGAACATTTTCCTCGATTTTATTGTAGTTGAGATCAAGTTTGGTCAATGTCTGTGTGAAAAAGTGCAAATGTGTGTATGAGATAGTTCAAGAGAGCATAAGATTTACTATGTTATTTCTTAACGAATCAGCAAGATCTTGTGCTCCTTTGTTTTGGATTTTATTGCTACTGAGCTTAAGTGTGGTGAGAGTCTAGGTGAAAAAATGTAAATGTTTGTATCAGATAGTTGACCAGATAATGATATTTACTGCGTTATTTCTTAACAAACCAGTAAGATGTTGTGCTCCCTCGTCTCCGATTTCATTGCTACTGAGCTTCAGTGTGGTGAGTGCCTATGTGAAAAAGTGTAAATATGTGAATGAGGTAGTTGAAGCGAGAGTGACATTTACTGTGTTGCTTTTTAATGAATCAGCAAGATGTTGTGTACCCTTGTCTCCGATTTGACTAGAGCAGAGATTAAGTGTGGTAAGTGTCTATGAGAAAAAGTGTAAATATTTGTACGAAATAGTTGAAGAGAGAATGAGCTTTACTATGTTATTTCTTAATGAATCAACAAGATGTTGTGCTCCCTTCTCTCTAATGTAATTTCTGCTTAGATCAAGTTTGGTGAGTGTCTATGTGAAAAAGTGTAAATGGGTGTATCAGACAATTGAAGCGAAATTGATATTTACTGTGTTATTGCTTAACAAATCAGCCAGATGTTGTGCTCCTTTCTCTTTGATTTCATTGTTGTCGAGATTAAGTGTGATGATTGTCTGTGTAAAACAGTGTAAATGGGCGTACGAGATAGTTGAAGAGAAAATGATATTTAGTGTGTTGTTTGTTAATGAATCAGCAAGATATTGTGCTCCCTTATCTCCAATTCTATTCCTTGAGAGATCAAGTATGGTGAGTGTCTGTGTGAAAAAGTGTAAATATGTGAATGGGATAGTTTAAGAGAAAATGATATTTACTGCGTTATTTCTTAACAAACCAGCAAGATGTTGTGCTCCTTTGTTTCCGAGTTGATTGAAACTGAGATTAATTGTAGTAAGTGTCTGCATTAAAAAGTGTAAATGTTTGTATGAGATAGTTTAACAGAAAATAATATTTACTGTATTGTTTCTTAATGAATCAGCAAGATGCTGTGCTCCCTTCTCTCCCATTTGATTACTACCGAGATTAAGTGTGGTGAGTGTCTGTGTGAAAAAGTGCAAATGTATGTATGAAATAGTTTAAGAGAGAATGAGATTTACTGTGTTATTTTTTAATGAATCAGCAAAATTTTGTGCTCCCTTTTCTCCGATTTGATTGCTATCCAGATTAAGTGTGGTGAGAGTCTGGTCGAAAAAATATAAACATTTGTATGACATAGTTTCAGAGAACATAAAATTTACTGTGTTGGTTTTTAATGCATCAGCAAGATGTTGTGCCCCCGTCTCTTGGATTTTATTGCGGAAGAGATTAAGTGTAGTAAGTGCCTGTGTGAAAAAGTGTAAATATGTGAATGAGATAGATGAAGCGAGAATGACATTTACTGTATTGTATTTTAATAAATCAGCAAGATATTGTGCACCTTTGTCTCCGATTTGATTATTAAGGAGATCAAGCGTGGTGAGTGTCTGTGTGAAAAAGTGTAAATGTGTGTATGAGAAGGTTGAAAGAAAAATCATATTTACTGCATTGTTTCTGAATGAACCAGCAAGATGGTGTGCTCCCTCGTCTCCGATTTTATTGGAAATGAGATCAAGTGTGGTGAGTGTCTGTGTGAATGGGTGTATGAGATAGTTGCAGATAGAATGAGATTTACTGTATTGTTTTGTAATGAATCAGCAAGATGTTGTGCTCCTTCGTCTCCGATATCGTTGCATGCGAGACGAAGTGCTATGAGTGTCTATGTGTAAAATTGTAAATGTGTGTATGAGATAGTTGAAGGAAAAATGATATTTACTGTATTGTTTCTCAACGAACCAGCAAGATGTTGTGCTCCCTCGTCTCCGATTTTATTGGCAACGAGATCAAGTAGAATGAGTTTCTGTGTGAAAAAGTGTAAATGTTTGTATGAGATAGTTGAAGAGAAAATAAAATTTACTGTATTGTTTTTTAATGAATCAGCAAGATATTGTGCTCCCTTTTCGCCGATGTGATTACATGCGTGATGAAGTTCGGTGAGTGTCTGTGTGCAAAATTGTAATGTGTGTATAAGGTAGTTGAAGGAAAAATGAGATTTACTGCGTTGTTTTTCAATGAACTAGCAAGGCGTTATGGTTTTTGGTCCCTGATCTGATTGCTATTGGGATTAAGTGTGAGGTGGGTGAGTGTGGGTGTCGGTATGATTATTCTCTTTATCGAGATCTACACCCTCAGTGTCTAACTAACAGAACAATTAGTTCATTGTTATTCATTGAACTTTGGATGAAAGTAAAGGAAAGTTGTTATTGTTATGTTAGAAATTCATTGGAAACACTAGAATACTGTAATATGGGTACTATTTCAAAATACGAGCGTCCCCTTTGACTTTTTGTTTTCGTTCGTCTCAGATGATACGATGTCCGAGGAGAAGCAATTGCAGTTCTATGGGAATAATTAGTCGGGAAATATAGAGAGAACCAATGGTTGTTTTTTAAAAGATAACTTTGTATTATGAATGACTAGCTTTCCCCCAAATGCTTTTAACTGGATAAATTATGTTGTCTCCTAATGAATTCATAAAATGATAATTACATATTGAAACGACATAAAAGACTCACTTGGTATCGCGGATAAGTATTAAGGATTTGATTGAATCGTTGGCAGACATTTTGCATTGAGCAAAACAAAGTGAAATCGGTCTCATGGTCCAGAATTCGATAAACGAGCTCGACTGGTAATGTAAGAAATGTGCACATAGTTTTGTTAGATTTTGATGAATACTCTTAAAATATGTTATGTGATATTGCTTTTAAAGCATGTATTATTGAAGGTATTTTTGTATGCTTCGATAACAGTGGTTTGGTAATGATACAATCATCTGGTCGCTAAAATAATAGACTAGCGGTAATTTAAATAATAAATCGTTAGTTTTATTCAAAAAGATGGCGTTAATGTATATGTTTGGTAAGAAAATAATACATAATGTGGATGAGTATTTTTTTAGTCTCTTTTGTACGATGAAGAGTGTCTGAAGAAGAATAAATAGTTAACTTGTTCAACAATACTTTTTCGAGCTTGACTTCATAATCCATTTCACTAAAGAATATTGAGGGTGTGGGTAGATGTGTGTTGTTTCTTATCCTAACAACACCCTATAGATCATAAACGATTCAGGTTGGATTGAGCAAGTACAGTCTATTATTGAAGAATGTTCTAATGAATTAAATTTACATCAACTTTCGGTATTACAATTATCAACAAAAAGTACTGAAATTATAGCTACCACAATCTATACAACTACATCAATCAATTGAATTCATATCAAAACATAGGTCATTTCCATTGAGAACAGTCGGAAGTTAGATTGGTGTATATGTTTCTGGAGTATGTTTGATTGTCAATACATCGATGCAATATCTAATGAATCGTTTCATAATTGGAGTCAACTAAATTTATTAATGTTTGATGATGGATATTATACTGTAGACTTTTCAAACGAAAAAACTCTTCAATGCTGTCCTATTGGTTCAAATACAAAACAAATAACAAAATTTACGAATAAACTTTTCTTCATCATCTTCTTTTTCTTTTTAAATAAAAACAACAAATCACAGGCAAAAAAATCAACTGAACATATTTTCGAAGTCTTTATATATATCTATAAAAAAATCCATAAAAACATACAACACTTTTATCAATAAGACAAAAAAAACAATACGTTCAATCGACTGTACCACAATATACAGTAAAATAAATATCTGAAAAGTCTTTTTTTGCTTCACTAAAACATTCTTCATTTTAATCTAGACGACCTAAATTTTTTAAAGCACATTTAACTGCTGCAGTTTTTGCTATACGATAATTTCTATCAACACCTTTAAAGCGTCCTTTATCAATCATTTGAACTGTAACATGTATTCGTTCATCAAGCAAACGTTTGGGTTTTTCAATAAAAGGTTTGAACATTGGATAATAAATTTTCCATACAGTATTAAACGATTTATTTGAATCAAAAAAAATATCACCACGTTGATGAAAACGATAGCCAATTAATTGTTCAAAACGATCAAAATCATAAGATTGTATTGTTGATAGTACTGATGGATTGATGTAATCAACTGGTGAAGATAATGGTAGAAGTTCACCAGTCATTTCTGTTCCATCGTCTAAAAAGAATATTTTTATCTGTAAATAAAGTCTTATAAGATACGTATAATAACTATAACTGTGAACGAAACTATTTAATTCATTGAAATTCTACTAATAGACGAGAAGGATAGATTAGGGTGTGTGGGTATGAGTGGATGTTGCGTTCTTCTCTTACTCACACACATCCTCCACCACATACATGATTAACATGCTATGGAAACATTATCATTACAATACATCTCAAATCCAAAAACAAACACTTTTATTTGCTATTTCTCTAAAAATCACAACAAAATAAAAAATATTCATATGGTCATCACAAGCCATGCATGGATCATCCAACTGCATTCAGTACTAGTCTTCAGGATTTTCGTCAATACTCAATGTGATGAGTGTCTAGATGAAAAAGTGGAAGTAAATACATGATATAGATGAATAGAGAATGAGTATTACTGTGTTGTGTTGTAATACATCACCTAAATGTTGTGCTCCAATATCTCCGATATCATTATGTCGGAGATCTAGTGTAGTAAGTGTCTAGACATCAAAGTGGAAGTAAATTCATGATATAGATGAATAGAGAATGAGTATTACCGTGTTATGTTGTAATGCATCACACAAATAGTGTGCTCCAATATCTCCGATTTGGTTCCATCTGAGATTTAGTGTCATGAGTGTCTAAGTAGAAAAATCGAGGTCCATAAGTGAAATAGACGAAGGGAGTATCAAAATTACTGTATTATGTCGTAATCCATTGGCCAAATGTTGTGCTCCAACTTCTCCGATTTGATTAGCTTCGAGATGTAGAGTAGTGAGTGTCTAGATGAGCAAACGGAGGTAAAAACATGGTATACGTGAAGAGGCAAGGAGTATTACCGTGTTGTCTCGTAAACTATTACTCAAATATTGTGCGCCAATATTTCCAAGTTGATTATATTGAAGATGTATTGTGGTGAGTGTCTAGATGACGATGTGAAAATAAAGACATGATATAGATGAAGAAAGAATAAACATTACCCTGTTGCATCGTAATGCATTATTCAAATGTTGTGCGCCAACATTTCTGATTTGATTATATCGAAGATTTAGTGTAATAAGTGTCTAGATCAACAAGTAGAGGTAATCATATGATGCAGAAAGAATGAGAATTACGTTGTTGTATCGTAATCCATCAGCCAAATATTGTGTTCCTACATGTCCGATTCGATTAACTGCAAGATTTAGTGTAGTAAGAGTCTAGATAAAATGGTGAGGTAAAGCCTTGATATAGATGAAAAGATAATGAAAATAACCCTATTGTGTTGTAATACATCACCTAAGTATTGTGCTCCAACAGCTCCGAGTTGGTTATACCGAAGATCTAGTAAAGTGAGTGTCTAGATGACAAAACGTGATAGTAAAGATATGTTATAGATGAAGATAGAATGAAACTCACCGTATTGTATCGTAAAGCATCACCCAAACGTTGTACTCTATCATCTCCGATATAGTTATTTTGAAGATCCAGTGTGGTGAGTGTCTAGATAAAAAAAGAGAAGATATAATGGCCGATTGCTTTTTGCTGGTGTTTCACTAAGATAATGGAGGTTGCTGTCATTGCTTTGAGGGGCGTGTGGATAGGAATATAAAAATTTCCCTGATCTTATATACTGCATACTGTGTAAAAATGCTGCCTGAAAAGCTAGATTGAAAAGAAGTTTTTCATCTACTATTGATTGTAATTATTAAATCTTTGGCGAGAAATGAAAAATGTCTGTTTATTGAATAAGATTTTGTAAATTACCTCTATGCGAAACATTTACGAAGCGTTGTTTTATGTTCTGAAATAATAATGTAGTGTAAGAAACAGTGTAAATAACAGTAGAATAGGATGCAACGTTTGTTAGTATCCCACAGATATGACAACAGTGTAGTTCCTTTGCAGTAATTGTCTAATGGCATACTTTTATATCTATCGTTGATAATCGATGAATATTTATTGACTTCAATAGCTGTTTTTGATGACGCTTGCACAGCTGTGTGCATGAAACAATACTGACTTGTAAAAACAGAAGAGTGAGACAATTTATTCAATGATATGAAATTCATTTTTGAGTAAAAAACGAATACCTGTTAAAACGTCCTATAAAAATTATCCTCGAAACTCCATCTTTGAACAAATATACTTTAAAAGTAATTTTTCTGAAAAACATGCTGTGAGGCGTGTATCCTCTAATGAAATGTGGAGTGTGAAGATGATCC